GTGGCGGTCTAGGCTCTATTTATATCATAAATAGTCACAACAACTGCTATGGTGTGAACGCGATCAAGCAAGTGAATTCTAATTATTGCCAGTTTTATTTACGTGATTTACAAATTGCGTATTTTAGGTTAAGAATTAATGCCACAACTTTAGTTATTTAATTATCATTTCGACAGTGGTGATTAATTTATTTTTTTACTATTATTATTATCTCATTTTAATTATAAATTAAATCCGAAAGAAACGAATTAAAATGATTGTAAAGAAAAAAAATAAAGCATTAATAGATTAGTGTGATTTTGGTCATGAATATTATAATTCGATCAAACCCACTGAAGTGATTAAACAATTAAGAACTTACTCGATAACCCACGTTCTCCAGTACTTGACACTAACCTATGTATGTTTTTGTTTGTTTGTTACGAATTTCGCGCAAAGCTAAACGAGGGTTATCTGCGCTAGCCGTCCCTAATTTACCAGTGTAAGACTAGAGGGAAGGCAGCTAGTCATCACCACCCACTGCCAACTCTTGGGCTACTCTTTTACCAACGAATTCAGCGTCACTATATAACGCCCTCACGGCTGAAAGGGCGCGCATGTTTGGTGTGACGGGGATTCGAACCCGCGACCCTCAGATTGCGAGTCGAGCGCCCTAACCACCTGGCCATGCCGAGCCACTAGCCTATGTAACGGACATTAATCCGACCAAAACGCAAGGATCATTTCAAAATATATCCCATAATGCCTCAAATGAGCAATACCCTTCTCAACCTCGTGCACGTAGATTTAAGTATTATTTTCCTTAAGTCTAGAACTGATGAGCTATTTATCTTACTAACTTCCTGATCTGTTCACAGCCTTCGCCAAACTTCTCCAGTTTATGTCGGATGCCAACGTTAATACTGTGACCAAACTAGAAGATTTCAACCATCGCATTCGGAAGTTTACGCCGTATTTTACGAGAAACAGGTCGGTGAACCTAAGACATATCCATGTTTAATTATGTAGTTTTTAGCTAAGGTGTATTGTACTTTTAATAGACTAAAACCTTTGATATTATTAAATATTACTTTTTTTTTCTTTATGAGATTACGACAACACGTTTCCTATAGTTATACTTGTTGCTATTTCCCACCTTGTATCGTTATTATTGAAAAAAAAATGTTTTAAGTCAGAAATGCAACTCGATACTCCTGTCTACTGGCCTATAACTGCGTTACAATATTTTTTATATTATCTTGAGCCTGGTATGGCCTGGTGGTTAGGGGGCGCTCGAATCGCGATCTTCCACCGTCGGTTCGAGTCACGTCACCAAACATGATTACCGTTTCAGCCGTTATTATGCGGCGGTCAATCCTACTATTCGTTGATAAAGAGTAGCCCAAGAGTTGGTGGTGGATGGTACTGGCTAGCTGCCTTCCTTCTAGTAGCTTTGTGCGACCCCCCCCAGTGGCACAGCGGAATGTCTGCGGACTTTACAACGCTAGAAAACGGGCGCTTAATTACAAACAAACAAATAATAAATATTGGCATCATAAATGTTAGAAAAATGAATATATTAAAAGTTAATATAACTTGGATTATCTCACTGGAAAAAAAAAATTTTCATATTAAACCCAGATAGATGTTCACTTCCGAAATGATGTATTTAAATGTTTTACACTCACATAAAATAAACCTATCATTCTATAGGTAGTTTAAGAACTTGTAGCATTCCGCCACAATTTAATTCTTCGTATTGTTAAATTGTGGCGGAATGCTACAAGTTTCTTCAAATACCTATAGAATGATAGGTTTCTTTCTTGTGAGTGTAAAACACTTAAATACACCAGTTCGATTTTCGATACCTCACTAGTATAAAGTCTTGGTTTGGTCTGATATTTCATTGGTGGTAGTGTCCAGGGTCACTGATGAGGAGTGGAATTATCCGAAACTACTCTGGCTCACAGACACTCCCCCAATGAAAGAATAGACCATTCCAAGGTTTTACTTATTGTTAAACAACTCTATTCAAAGATGTTCACTTTGTTTCTCTTTTTCTGAGTAGCCAGCAGGATGCCCAAGAGTTTATGCGGTATTTACTTCAGGGGCTACACGAAGACGTGAATAGGGTCAGAACAAAACTACCCCCCATTAGAACAGATATTGACGAGACTCTCAGGTAAGATGGACGTTCCTTGGCTTTAAGTACAACCTTCGTACTCCATGTTGCCAACTCGACAAATCAGGAATTCGCAGAGAAACCCTGAAAAAGTCGCTAATGTTGCTATCTAGACATTCTAAAGGCGTCAAAAAAGTCGCTAAACAAAATCTGTATAGCATTCGGTAAAGAAAAAAATATATATACATATTATTCTATATAAACAGGATTGGAAATTGTCTTTACAGTGAGAAGACACTCCGAAATAAGACATCATATGTCTTATATATTTACTGAACAATGAAAATGTCTTATATTAAAGTCACTAAACTGTACTCCGTAAACTGTCATTTACCGTATTTTATTCTGTTGCATCATTGTTCTTACAAATCCGAACAAGGTAATAATCAGGCCCGTAGCCACAGGGTCGCCCCTTCTTAAGATAAAAAAATAAAACAGTTTGATTGTAGTTATCCAAGCTATTATCGGCAGCGGCCATTTTTATTTAACCCAGTTTAGAGACGTTAAAATTTATTTAAGTCACATCGTGGGTGAGCTTTAAATTTTTTTTTTGACCTCACAACTACAGTCATCATGTTTGGCGCTTTTATCAAAAAAAAATAAAAAAAATAAAAACACTGTAGTCACTAGTCCTGATAATGGTAACTATGTTAGCGCCACCCAGTGGCACAGTCTGCCGATTTACTGTATTATGAGTGAAAAAACAATAACGACGTTTTTTGGCACATTGTGTTACTGTATTATGAGTGACGTTTTTTGGCACATTGTGTTATTGTTTTTTCACTCATAATACAGTGTGTCAAAAAACGTCGTTATTGTTTTTTCACTCATAATACAGTAACACAATGTGCCAAAAAACGTCGTTATTGTTTTTCACTCATAACACAGTGTGTCAAAAAACGTCTTTATTGTTTTTTCACTCATAATACAGTAACACAATGTGCCAAAAAAACGTCGTTATTGTTTTTTCACTCATAACACAGTGTGTCAAAAAACGTCTTTATTGTTTTTTCACTCATAATACAGTAACACAATGTGCCAAAAAACGTCGTTATTGTTTTTTCACTCATAATACAGTAACACAATGTGCCAAAAAACGTCGTTATTGTTTTTTCACTCATAACACAGTGTGTCAAAAAACGTCGTTATTGTTTTTTCACTCATAACACAGTGTGTCAAAAAACGTCGTTATTGTTTTTTCACTCAT